GTTACGTGTGCAGCAATAAATGACAATTAAACATAGGGGGTAATCATTCAGTTAAATAGTTCGCGAACAATTTGAGTTCGACCCGGTTATAAATCGATTAACGCTTGACTTGAACTAATTTGAATCAAACTTGAACTCGTGTCTAGATCTTAGCAAGTCAAGCAAGCAAGGTCCGACTCAACTCCATAAGATCACAAACAGCTCGTTAATTTTCTTAGGATTGATTAAATATTGTTATTTTTTTTCAAGAATGATTGTAACATGTTAATTTGACGTATTTGTTGATTGATACTTTGATTATAATACATTAATTTGATGTATTTGTGGGTTGTTACTTAGTAGTTTAGAATTTGGAATTGCTTTACTCACTATTTTGATCATTTGATGTTAAACTTGTTTATTCATGTTTATATTAAGCTTCGAATAGTATTTCCATATTTTATATATATATATATATATATATATATATATATATTGAAATAAGGTAACAATTCTGATGAGATTAACCATTAGCTAGTCGAGTTGAGTAACGAATATTTTTAACAAACACAAATCAAATAAAATTCTATTAGATTTATCGAATATCGAGACAAATCAAGCATGAATTAAGCAATTTTTTAGTCAAATTGAGCATTGTTTAACTCATGATCAACGCGCTCAATAAACACCCTTAATAAAACATGTGAAATTGTGATAAACTAAATTGGATCCGAATTAATGGAAAATAATCATGCAGGCAAAGATTTACTTCAGGATAAATTGTTTAACGCTTTCCCTGTTCTGGAAATTAGGAAATATACTAATCAGCACAAAAGCAGCATGTGATGACATTGCTCAATAAGTAAAATTAATATATATATATATATGTGTATGTATGTATATGGAAAAGCTAAAAGCCCATCAATGTGGAATGTGGATACTGTCTATTTGCATTACTAGTACCTTCACTGATGTAAATGAAACAAAGTTTTTCATTAATAGTAAGCTCATTTTCTTAAAAGTAATTTGGTGAATTCATCAAGTCTCTTATATAACCATCTAAACTCGAACTATGAGTTCATAAGGATATATTGGACCGTACATAATGAATATTTTTATAATTTAGTTTGATCATATTAAACTTAAAAAGTTAGATCAATTATCCCCATAAATTTACCAACCAAAAAGCTTAAGGTTCATCCTACCAATGAATCAAGAATTATCTTTCTGTGTAACCATTTGATTAAGAGATTAACAAGGTTTCTACTAGACCTTGCACATTCTATGGTGAATACATGATCCTTTATTAATTGTTTCGCAAATTCTGTGTCTTCTTACCATTACATGCCTGATTTTTAACAACACACTACAACCTACGAGTCATACATTAAAGACATAAGTGAAGTAAAATTTTGCCTTGCACTGCCCTTTTCATGTGTGAAATTCAAATTGTTAAGAACAGTCTTCAACACCTTCTAAAATTTCAAAGTAAAGGTTTGAAAATTATCTAAAAAAAATGTTCTAAAATTCAAAAGTAAGCTCAATCATTTTTTTCAACAATCTTCATAAATAAAAAAAAGCATATGAATTTTCAATAAAACAAATTCCGAATGAGATTTTCTTATTCAACTTTTCTTTAAAGAATTTAAGTGTTTTGGAAAGCAACTTTTTAATTATTAATATTGAAAATTGTAAACTTAATATCTTGATGTTAAACATATAATTATTTTTGACATATCATATATCTTATTAGGTATAACTATTTTGATTTTATCAAATACATTAGAAATGAGTTAAATTTAGTAATTCTAATTAAATTTTAAAAAGGCATGTTATCAGAAATAATCAATCAACGTCCATTTGACATAACAACTAATAGTAACAGATGATGTGATGGTTATATGTGTAGATATTAGCGTTCTCGTTAGCTATTAATGTTGAAAAATGAAATTAATAAATTGGATGATGTTGAGAATATGATTAAAAAATAAAAAAATAATTTTTGATTTTATATTTATTTAAGAACATGATGAAACGTTAAGCTAAAGAAAATAGCATAGAAATATATGGTTGGGATACAGCCAAGTCAAACGCTTTGAAACCAACAAAGCAAGTAGTGGAATGGATCCTCCAAAACCCCTTTTACGGTTTAACACAGTTTGTCCAAAAACCTCCATAAACCCACAGAGTTTTTACTTTTTAGAATTGAAGAGAAGACGCAAAAAAGAAAGAAAAGAAAATGTTTCAAAGCAGAGTGGCTGCTTCAATTCTAAAGAGAAACAAATCTATAATCAACAGCTTAACATCCAATCTCAAGGGAACGTCTTCCTCTCGTTGTTTTACATCTTCTTCTGCTTCTGTTCCTGCTGCTAATACACTTGCAAGGACCTCCTTCTGTGGCTTTGGATCTCTGCCTAAGGTTTTTTTTTCTTCTCAATTTCGATTTTTGATTCACTTTATTGAAATGGGTATATTTTCTTGTTTCCTTTTGTCTTTTATTTCTAATGAATCAATTGGAGTTAGCCTTTTTATTATTTGAGAAGGGGTTTTTTCAGGTTGATTACAGTTTTGTACTTTTTATCTTAAAGTTCATTGTTGAAAAAAATGAGAATTTTGCCCATTTCTCTACTCTGATACTGACATATTGTGGTCTTGATGGAAAACCAAGTGACCTTCGATCATCCCATTGTTGCTTTTGTTTGATTAAAGCTTTCGGGATGAATGATGGGAATTCATTTGTTTCATCTTAAAATCATAATATGAGTTTGATGGCGGCAATTGGGATTAGTCTTGGTTCTATCATAAACAATGCATTCCTCGGTTCCAATTTAAAGAAATATTAGGGATTTTAGGCAATCTTACCTTTCTTTAGCTATCGAGGGGCTACATTTATCTTGTAATGATCCGGTCCGGCATAAGCACTCGAAGATGAAAATGATGTTGCGAGTCCTGTTTTTTCACTCAATGAAAGAAAGTTGTTTCCTCTGTATATTCTCTCTTAAAATTATGTAAAAGAACAATATCGATTTGCTCTCCTAGCATTATGTGAATGTCACTAAAAGGAAGTTCTTTTATTTGTTTTAGGGTCATCATGTGTCGTCTTTTAGGAATATGTCCATCGTAGCCTCTGTTGGCGCCGAGAAGGAGGGATCGAACTGCTAGTAACTGCAGGTCCCCATGCTCAGAAAATGGTGGGAATATGGCTTTTTGGTTCTGCTGCATGGGTCTTTAGTATGGTGGTACTAGGTGGTGTCACACGACTAACTCGATTTGGTCTTTCGATGACTGATTGGAAATTCACTGGGAACCTTCCTCCTCTATCCGATGAGGAGTGGCAGCAAGAGTTTGTGAAATACAAGCAATCACCAGAATACAACCGGTATGAGCAAAAATGTGGCATAATGTTGTATTAGCTGCAATAATTGTTGTTTCACTTGCTAGTATTTGTACTTTGAAGCCCTAGGTAAACTTGTCCTCTATTGTGCAGAGTAAACAAAGGGATGAGCATTGAAGATTTCAAGTTTATATACTGGATGGAATATGCATATCGAATGCGGGGGAGAGCCCTATGTGTCATGTTTGCATTGCCATTCTCATATTTTCTTCGTAAGGGATATATTACTGTTCGCCTCGGACTAAGAGTCTCTGCTCTTTTTGCTCTTGGTGCTGGTCAGGGTTTAATTGGTTGGTGGATGGTTAAAAGTGGCTTAGAGGTGAGAAGTAATTCGCTTTCTCCTTTCTTAGTAAATTTGAGTCCAAATTACTAGAATATTGTTCACTGCACAGATGATTTCTTCATACAGGAACCAGCTTCGGAGTATGTCGAGCCTTGAGTGAGCCCTTATCGACTTGCTGCTCATCTTACTTCAGCATTTGTTATTTACAGTGGCTTGTTCTGGACCGCTCTTTCTGTTGTAATGCCCGAACCTCTTGCCGAATCATTGGCTTTGGTTCAAGGGGCTGCCAAAGTCAAGAGACTTGCAATTCCAGTGAGCCTCATTGTAGGCATTACTGCTGTTTCTGGAGCATTTGTTGCTGGAAACGATGCTGTATGCAACTTTTTTTTTCTTCTTCATTTCTTGCATCTCTTCCTTCACAATAACTTTCTTAAATCTTTTTCTAGGGCCGGGCATACAATACTTTTCCAAAGATGGGAGATGTGTGGATTCCCGATAATATATTCGAGTTGAAACCAATAATCCGAAACTTCTTTGAGAATACATCCACAGTGCAGGTAATTTGTCTTCTGTATTTCCTGATGACATGTTCAAAAACTATTTCATTAACAAATTGTGTATGTATTTCTTCTTGCAGTTTGACCATCGTTTCCTTGCAACTACCACTTTGATCTCCATTTGTGGTTTATGGTGGTGGACAAAAAAGCTGGATGTCCATACGGCTATTCGATCGTTGGTTGGAGCCACTTTCGGCATGGCTGCTCTTCAGGTGACTCTCCATTTAGACTCTGTTCTTCATTTTAATAGTTTATATATCATATATAATTAATTCCTATGGCATTATTGTAGGTAACATTAGGTGTCTCAACACTTCTATCGTATGCCCGTTTCACTAGGCATTGCACATCAGGCAGGGGCCTTGACCCTTTTAACACTGATGCTACTGCTCAATCACACCGTGAGGAGGCCATCAATGCCGCTTCTGAAAACACTGCCGCAGGTTGCGAAGATAGCTTGATAACCATTGTTGTTTTGTACTGGTCTTCCATTTTCAGACCCAGTGTCCATTTTGATCGTCAATGGAGAAGCAAAATTTTGTAAAGACTTCAACAAGGCAAAAGCAGCCGATCTGTAATAAATAAAGTCAATTGAAAATCGTGTGAATTGTTCTCGTGTATCATGAGTCATGCCACGTGTCGTTTGAATGAGCCTATAGCTGCCACATGGTAGAGCCAAAGCCCCACTCATAGATTCCAAGAAACACCTAAACAGCACGTCTTTTTAACCTCTTCGGTTATAAAATCAAAAGAATCGGGCGGTTTCCCGAGGTGAAAAAACACACACAAAAGTGTAGATTAAATGGGAAAAAGGGTTCAACAACAGCAAACTGGCAGATCAATGATCTTGGCAGCAGTGGCTGGCGTGGTACTGGCTGCACCGCTGCTGGGAATGATGGGGCTCAGCTTCTTGGCAGCATCTACACTGCTATTTATAAGCTTACCTCTGCTGATACTTTTCAGCCCTCTGCTACTCTTTGTTGGGTTGGTTTTCATGGTTGCCTTGGTCGGTTTTGCCATCGCCGCTACCGCAGCTTTGGCCGGTGTCTCGACTCTAGCCTGGATGTATAGAGAAATCAGAGGTAATTTAGGATTTGATTCCAGGGGGAGTGAATTGGTTCCTGTGAAGTATTTGCAGCAAAACTGGCAAGAGATATGAACCATCTGAAACACTGTTCAATTAATGAAAACAAAGATCATGGTCTGATGTGTTTGTTTTGAGGTTCTTTGTCTGTTTGAAAATGGAAAAAAGTCGGTATTATGTTGTAACGTAAACAAACCTTGTAATTTCCTTTTACATATACTACGAGCACTGAATGGCTTTCTATATTTATTGTCTGGCACAAGACCTGTCCCAAGAAGACAAGACATTGAACATGGATAATTTTTTTCTCCCTTCAATACTTTTTTAAAAGTTCAATTATAATTTTTTTTAATATTTTTGTGATAAATGAAAAAAACAATTTTAAGACTTCAATCTTAAAATTTGAGAAATTAAGATTTTAAATCTTGAGATTTAAGATTAAAATATATAAAATAAAATTTATATAATATATTTGTATCAGATAATAATCATTATAATTCATACGTCTGAAAATTATAATAATCAATAAAATATAATATAATTAAATCAGCTGAAAATAAAATCTAATAAAGACTTCAAATTTATATAAAATGATGAGATAAAACTGACACATATTAATTAAACAAATGAAAACAACATAGTACCTGTTTTTAAAAATTAAAAAAAGGGTTCGGATCTGGCAGAGCACATGGATTCACATATTTTATTGTCTCAAGTTAGGGTAACATTAGTTCAGTTTATTTAGTTAAAAAAAAGCTTACATTATTGAACTTCCAAAGTTTATTTCTTTGGGCTTTTCAATCTTCCGTTTAAGGGAGGAAAACATTAAAAAGAAACAAACAAAGGCGGGCACTTCAAATTACTAGGGAAAATTGCACGAAGAAAACGGAGAATCAGAATTTAGCTAGACTACATATAACCCCGTAAATACCTAATTAGAATCCAGTCGCATTCGTACGCTCTCGTCATTGAGGGTTCTCTCTCTACCAAAAGGGAAAAAAAAGTATTTTTTCTTTTCTTTTCGGGTAGGGAATAGTGTTTTTGTTTCTTTTATTATCATAAATATATTTTTGGGGTTTCCCGATGCATACTCATCTGGAGATTTCTGAAGATTTGCAACTAAGGTTAGTTCTTTCTCAGATCCGTTGACGTTTTGGCAAGTTTAGTTCGTTTCCCTATTGTTTTTTGAGATTGTTTATTAAGCATCCGCTGATGTTAATATTTGAATCTGTTGTGTGCTATTGATTGTTTGAAATTTGAATCTGTTAGTGTTTTTCATGGATTTAATGTTGTTTGTTTCTATTTGATAAAAAGAAGTCTTGGAAATCAAAATCTTAAGTTATTATATTATGAATTGATGAACAATAGGAGAATCAATATGAGATCTTAATTAGGGACTGTATTACTTTATTACAATTCCAGAGAATGGTAAGCTTAACTGCTAATATTATGCTTTCTTTTTTTGTAACAAAGTTTAATTGTGCTGTTGTTATTTATACATTGAGGAATTAAAAACCAAGCACATGATACTGTAATGCTTTTTTATGTTAACGGCTATGGATAACTTATTGCTCTTTTGATACGTGAAGATGGATTACAAGCAACAAGTTGGAGTTCAATCCCATGTTGAAGTATGCTATTCTTCATTTTAATGTTTTGCCGTCCTATTTTTTTTACCTTTCTTTGTGGTTGGTGAATATACATTTTGAGTTGCTACTTCTTATTTTGACTATTTCTACCCTGCATTTTGTTTTAATGATTATTGTAGCAGATGGGATCAGTAGAAGATAGGTCAATGGATGATCTCGATGATGAGTGCCTCCACTCCCCTGGAACGGATGCTTGAAAAACACAAACTTCTGATTCTAATCGACAAATACCATTTTCAGATCAACAATCAACACTTTCTTATTGTTTCCCTATTGTTGGTAATAAAATGATAAGAAACAGAATCTGTTGGAGCATAAAGACCGTAGTTTTCTCTAATAAACTCAACTTGCTCATGCCTTTATTTTGAAAGAAAGCATTAAAGAGGAAACAAAATGCAGGGTAGAAATACCATAAGAAAGGAGAAACAATCCCATGCTTCAGTTTGCTATGGGGCTACAGGCTGATTACTTTCACTTTATGTTTCTCCTTTCTGATTTTTGGTTGCCAGGGCATCTGAAGCATGGGATTTATCGATTGCATTTATCAGTGTTATCTTGCTCCCCATTATTGGGAATGAGGCAGAGCACGCAAGTGCTATTATGTTTTCCATGAAAGACAAGATTGTAAGCAATTCTCTTAACGTTCATTTCATAGAATTTGTAAGTGTCGCTAATTCATAAACTTCTTTTCAGGACATATCGTTGGGAGTGGCAATAGGGTCGTCGACTCAAATTTCTATGTTTGGGGTAGGTCCCATGAATTGGATGTCCTCATTATATATTAATATTACATTTTGGTTTATAAATGCCATCTAATGTTGGGAGCTTTTTGGGTTTACTTTTTGGTTTTGTTCTTGTTTCCATGGCAGCAAATACTGAAGCACATATATTTCGTCTTTATATCTGTTCTCTTAGTTATGGGTTACTCATTTTCGTCAATTATTTAGCAACCTCCACTCTTTATACGTGACAACTGACGTGCATAAACGGTGTGCATAAGTCCCCAAATTATGATCAACTTTAGATCCTGAAGTTGAGCTGAACCATGTCATGTGTGTGTTGTAGATACATACATATTTATTTATGGATAGTATGTTGTTTGTTTTGCCTTAGTGAACTAATCCATATTCTTGTTGCATATGCAGATTCCTTTTTGTGTGGTTATTGGGTGGATGATGGGACGGGAAATGGATTTAAACTTCCAGCTTTTCGAGACAGTAACTCTGTTCATAACTGTAATCGTTGTAGCCTTCTTTCTGCAGGTTGGTGTATATGAATAACTTTGGCAAGTAATAATGGCCAACGGTTATCTTTATCATTAGGAATGGAAGCAATTTTCAAACACATGTCCCTGTTGGACCATACGTATACTTGATATTTACACCCGCGTTCGAGTCCAATAGTTCAAAGATACTTGGAAGACTAATGTAGGCCAGAAGGCAGTGGAAAGCAAATTAATTTACTTTTCTGCTTCTTTTTTCTTTGTAGGAGGGAACGTCAAACTACTTCAAAGGGCTAATGCTCATTCTTTGCTATCTGATGGTAGCTGCTAGTTTCTTCGCACACGAAGATCCTACTTCGACTGGTAAGGTTTTTCCATTTCTATTTCCGTGCTCCATCTCTCTTTTTTGGTTTCTCTTTCATGGTTGTCATTGTTTTAGTAGTGGTTGTGAATTCTACAGATCAAAAAAAGCAACCGCAAACGTGAACGATGCGGTCGAATTAAGGGATGGTTTCTGAAAGAAGTCGAGTCCCACGTCATTGCTGTAAATATTTTCAATCGCAGAGACTCCATTTCCCCAGCTGCTTATGGTTTTGTAGTTAATATTATTGAAAAACACGAGAGGTGTTTGCTCATTAAATTGTTCTACCAGTGATGCCAAAACATTTGTCAAGATGACGAATCGGAAGAGACGTGTATAATGCAGAAAACAAATGTTTTCTCTAAATTAGTAAATTTTGATAGTCATATAACACTGATTCTTTTTAGCATCTTACTGGGGGATTGTTTGCAATGAAAATAGTGGTTGGTGTTCAATTTCTATCACTTGTTTCTATGGCTACTAATATATTTTTATTAAATTAAAATATGTTTTAAGGTCATGTATTTCCAGAATATTCCCACTCAGGAAAAAGCATTTCTTTTCTGCCTCTCACCAAGCATTAGGACCCTATACCCTCAGACCTCAGTCACCTTCAATGACCTAGGCTCAACCGTTTATCTCTATCTTTCTCCTTTCCGCCATTCCTCTTCTTTTTATAGTGTTTTACTCTCTCTCTTGTTTCCTTCCAGCATATGAAGCCTTTTTGGAATAATAAGTTCTGTCTCGTGTCATTGAGTACTTGATGTTTCATGCAAATCTAGCTGGTGGCTTCAAGGGCGAGTAACTTTTTCTGGCAGACTCAGTCGATCTGTGTTCAACCCTCTGGACTCAACGCTCACACTTCACCTCCTTTCGCAGGATGGAGTCGCCTTCACGCTGCAATGGGGTTTAGATGAAGAGTTGGACGGGTAAATTTATTGGGTTGTAAAGCTACTTTCAACGCTTTTATATTCATGAATAAAGAGGTATAGATACACTAACACCACTTAGGTATTACTCTTCTAATTAAATAATTTAACCTTCCAAACATTATTTGGAAGAATAATATGAATCACCTAATGTAAACACTAAAATACACAAGAAAAATAAAAAGAATATTTATTTAAAATATTTGTGGTCGTTATCAAGAGACATAATAGTTAGAATTAAAAAATAAAACAAAATTTCTTTTATTCTTCTTCCATTGTTTTTAATATTATAGATTATGTTGTGTTCTGTTTTAAGTTTTTTTGGTTATTTGCTTTTCACTTTTTGTAATAACTTTCTCTTAATAAATTCAAACGGCTTTCTAATAAAAAATTTATAGATTATTCTATAAAAAATATATATCCATAACAATAATTATTTTGTCGATTGTAAAAAATCTTTAAACTTAGGATAAATTCAAGATTCTATCACTCAATTTTCTTCATATTTCTATTTTAACCATTAAAGTTTAGTTTTTTTTTAATTTACTCATTAAACATTCGATTTGTTCTTATTTTGATTACTATGTCGTTAAATACTTAACGACGTTGTGACTGAATATTTTCCTTTTAAAAAATATATAATTTCGAATTCACTTTGGTTTCTCGATGATGAAATATATTCTTTCAAATCTCAATCGTGGAAAGATGGGGAAGGAGGAAGCGAGTTGCGTATCTTGATTTCACGTTGATTGGATGGTGAATATTATAGATAAAAGTGATTTGAGATTTTACGAGTTTTAGGTTTAAGGTTGAGTTTTATGTGTTTTAAAGTGATTTGGATAAAATATAAATTAATAGAGTGATAGGAGACAATGAGGCGAGTTCATTGATATCTTGATTGATTGGAGAAAACGTAGGAGAATGATAATTGCAATATTGACATGACACAAGAATGAAATTGTAAAAATTTTATCTTAGGAGGAATAAAATAAAATAAAAAAGAAAGAAAAAGAAGGAAATGTAATGGATTACACATAAATTCCATATCAATAAAAAAAAAACAGTCTATATCAGTACATGTGACAGTCATATCATACTTTCATTTATGATTTAATACTCCAGTGATCAAAATTTGAATAAATTGAAAATTTTTAATGATCAAAATAGAAGTAAAAAGAAAGTTGAGTGATGAAATTTAAATTTATCTTAAACTTTATTATATCTTGATATTTATTTATTTTTAGTAACACTCTTGTACACCAACACATAAGATGGGCAAATAGAACCTTAAAGATGGGTACTTAGCTTGGAATCTTGTCCAATAGATGGATATTTATTCAAGCATTTTTGTTCTTATTATATTCATGTGTTTGAAAGTTACATCACCAACCATTCAGACGTAATCCACCCACGTTATCATCCTCAAGTATTTTGCTCATTTAAACATTTTAGTAATATTGTACCAAAAGGGACAGGGATGTAGAATAATTCAAAGCAAAATTTATTAATTTAATCTTACGAAAAATGGCTTAGCTCATTGGCTGGCATCTTTTTTCAACTTTTTTGTAATAAGTCTGGTTAAACTAATTCCACTAACCATAATTACATTGGGAGAAAAGAAGACATTTTTTCTGCATCAAAGACATCAGACATGGGTGCAGAACATGACGACAATCACCACTCCCCATTGCTGCCGAGTTCTTCAAGCAGCTCTGTCAAAAGAACTGGTATACTTATTTGAATATATATAGTTCCCTGTTTTCATATCTCAAATTTGTTCTCCATGTGCTTGTAAAAGGGGCTTTGGGGACAGCTATAGCACATATCATAGCAGGGGTGATCGGGGCAGGAGTTCTATCCCTTGCGTGGAGCATCGCTCAACTCGGATGGATCTCTGGTCCAATCACCACGCTTATGTTTGCTGCAATCACCTTTGTTTCTGTCTCCCTTCTATCTGACTGCTACATGTCTCCTGACCCTGAATTTGGCCCCAACAGACTCAAATCTTACACAGATGCAGTCCTTTTCTACTTGGGTAAGCAAATCCCTACTGTTTTCTTCTAAACTTTCATCAACAACATGCACTTTAATCCTATGGTTTCATCCATCATCGTTGATGCAATGGTTACTAGACTATGTTATGAGATATTATCCGTTTTGGCCAAAGTTAATTTTATTTTGATGATGGGGTTGATTCATATATTTGCAAAGATGGATGTTTCTTAATTTAAACTTTGGGAAGGAAGAATTACATGTGAAAAAAACATAGAAAATACATATGCAAATGCAGGAGAGAAAAGACACAGACTCTGTGGAGTAATGCTGGTGGTAGAGATGGTAAACGGGTACAGTTTCGTGGATTCCGCACCGCATCCGCTCCAATTGGAGCGGGGATGGGTATAATTTTAGCGGGTAGTAGGCGGGTGTGGATTTATAAAGTGGTACCCGTCGTCGTGGGTGGTGGGCGGGTAATGGGTTTGAGACATTACCCGCCCCGCATCCGCCCGCCCCACATCCGCCCACCCAACTAAATATCTATTAAATTTTGGACCATTATGAATTTAGGTGTAATTTTAGAGACTAATTTATAAATTTTAATATTGTATAATATATAACATATAATTTATCCAAATATTAAGGATATTTAGTCTTTAATTTGGTCTTTAATTAGGAAAATATTCGGCTCTTTGATTAAACCCATAATCCCACTAACCACGCCACTTTCCATGTTCTTTAGCCCATGCTGCCCATCCAAACACAAATCACCCGTACTATAAGCATCTTTCATACCAACAATTATATATTGTGGCGGACTCTAATCTAAATAGGGTTCTTCAACGAAAAAGGGTCAGAATGAGGAAATGGGATGATCCAGATTTATCATGGCTATCCAAGAATGTCCATATTTGAATTAAGGGTTCGTTCATAGTGTAAGACTTATCTGATCTTTTCAATTGTTAGAATTTTTTTTTCTTGAAACAATCATGAATTTTTCTAGGACAGTATTTAAGGATCTCATCGAAAGCAGCAGTTTCCATGTTCTTTAGCCCCTCAAAACCTATATTAGGCGCACTATGAGCATTAACATCGAAAGCAACACAACAATCCAGCTCTGCAACTACATGCTCCATACAATCTGTCTCCATAACATTCGTAGAGCTACTCCTCTGACAAATTGAAGCATGCGCTGCTACCCCATCACAAACTGTCTGGGAACCAACTCCAACATCCCATTAGTTTGTTGTCAGGCGGGTCTAGATGGATATGTCGCTAGTGGGTAGTGGGTGTGGGGATGGATTTGAAAATGTACCCGCGTGGGCGGGTGTGGATTTGAAAATTTGTACCCATCATGGGTGGTGGGCGGGTGGTGGATTGAAAAATATTAGGTGGGTATGGGGATGGGGGAGGGGGTATCCGCACCCGACCCGCCCGTTTGCCATCCCTAGCTGGTGGGGAGCTTGTATGGGACTGCACTTGCATATGTCATAACTTCCTCTAGCAGCATCAAGTATGATTCAATTCTCTTACTCTTTACTTCCCTTCTTTAACTAGTTTCTTTACGTTGCATGTATGTGTAACTTGGAGTTGGATACACGTACTATGTTACTCGGATTTGGGTATGAATATCAGATACAGATATATACGTCAGACATGGCTATCGGATATACCTAATCCATGTTCAGGTATTCATGGATTGTTCTATAGGTACTTACTGCAAATGTTTTTCTAAACAGATTGATAGTTTTTCCACACTATTCAGTGTTTAGTGGACTATTTTAGTGTTTAGTGGACTATTATAGTGTTTAGTGGACTGATTTCGACGGTGTAAGACACCGGCAATCGTTGAACTTTGATTTCTCATGATATTATTTTTAACCCCATGTACTAACATTTAATACAGAGCAATTCATAAATCAAACTGCTACCACAAAGAAGAAGGCCACAATGCTCCATGTTCATATGAACATGCTTCCTATATGTTTCTATTTGGTGCTGTTCAGGTTGTAATGTCACAGATACCAGATTTCCATAACATGAAATGGTTTTCAGTGGTTGCTGCAATCATGTCCTTTGCTTACGCTTCCATAGGGTCTGGACTCGGGTTTGCACAAGTGATCGGTAAAACTCCGAATTCAATTTAGATTTTACTCATCCTGAATGCCTGAGATAAGACTCACTCATGTTTCCCATTGCAGAAAATGGAACCATCAAGGGGAGTATAAAT